CGCTTTTCTTGACAAACGCTTACGGTGCTGACAGTGGCAACGTGGAGAGCCCCAAATAAAAGCTTACGGCAGCTTACGGCCCAACATGCGGAACGATTTTGCTTACGGTAGCTTACGAAACCCACAGGTTTGCTTACGGCAAGGTCCTTATTGCCACTCGCTAATGGGCTTTTCACTAGAGGGTTTTGATCTCTGCTCAATTGCTTTTGAATGGTTGTTTATTAAGGAATGTCGAAAAACTGAATAGGATTATAGATTGGTTTATTGCGATTTTAAATCGTTGGAACTTCAATTAGGATTTCATTAGATTCTAATTGGACTACGCTTTTCAAGTTGATGTTGAATTAGTTTTCCAAACTTTAATATCTGCTTTTAGACTGGTGTAATTGATGTTATTACAAGTCTGTTCCAATTTTGATTAGGTATAACCGGGTGCTTATTCGATTTCGTCGCTTTTTATTTTAAGTTAATTAGGTTTCAATCGGATCCTAGTATATACCACCTAATGTTCGGGTCGTCAGCCTAATGCCCCCCCTTTTATTTAACACGGGTCAGAATGTGTACATTAGGATGGGGTAGCCCTTTGATGTTAGAGGAAAGGATCAATGCGGGGCTACGTACTGGAGTAACAAATAAGCAGCAACAACTGAGATGGATGTGAAGAGGTTCTTGCGTTGGCAATGGAGGTTCACAGTATGGCGCAGAGGTTAGCTGAGTCAGACATGCCGGCTGAGGGAAGATCCAATCAGCAATTGCTGAAATCTGCTTGTGGTTTGTTAAAGTTAGCCAGATGTGAAATGGAACGCGCGAGCACCTTGAATGTCGCAGATGAAGCAAGCTTTCCCCCACTTTCGCAGCATTGATGTTAGGTCTTCCTTGTCAACACCCTTCTCCTGCAACAGGTCAGAGGCTAATATACGGCACTTGGGCAAACTTTGGCGTGCCGCATGTCCTGCTCGGCTGACAAGGTAACCTCTACAAATGGAATGAACACCACTGGTGATAGAAATCCTTGGGCGCTTTGACAATGCAACTCAAGGACAGCTTTCCCATTATGAGTGTTGCAGACAGTCACTGAGAACAAGAACACAGCACAGTACGAAAAGCGTGCCCTGGAACGAAGCCAGGTATCTCAAGCCCATGACCCGAGGTCGCAAAGCTGCTGGCAGAGGAGAGCCTCCTGCAATCTCGGATGCCACAGCCTCAGTCAAGAAATGCTGAAAAAATCCGCTTGGCATGGCATTCCAGTGCGGAGTCTGTCGACCGCAATCAATCAATTGCCTGCTGGATGTTCTTCAGCGGGATGGACAGAGTGTTCGTGGCGAGAATTGCACCAGGACGCGCGGTTGACACAGCTTCTGAGAAGACTTTTGTCTTGATCTCGAGCTTGTCAGGCACTGCTTCCAGTATGATATGCGCGTTTCTGGATGCCTCCGCCACAGACGAGCAGGCCTCAGCGCAAAGTCATAGGACTCAAAGCGCCAAGCTGGTCTTTCAAAGAGCCTTCCCAATCCGTCTGCCAAGGAGCCTTTGCCTGCCGAGGTGGCTCACTCGAAAAGGGTGTCCATTTGCCACCCTTCGGGGGAACCATCTCCGCTAGGCCTAAAAGGCCTTGCCTGAACCAGCTACAAGGCAGCTTCACTGGCTTTCTGCCAGTCACTTCTAGACTATCTAGAACACTGAATCCAAAGATGCTGCCTGTCACATTCCATGAGAAGACCACCAATGACTTCGTTCAGAGCCGTTTGAGGGTCTCTCTGCTTCGCAATGTTTTGGTCAAACACTGCCTCGTGTTCTTACACAGTACGGAAGTTGTACCTCCGACATGAAACATTAACCAAGGGTCTACACAGCAACCATCGCTCTGAGTTCTTGACAACTTTATTCCCCAGCAGCAGCATCTCTGTAATGATGCGGGCACCGAGAAAGCCAGCACCGATCACAGCGACGTTGAACGTATCTTCTTCCTTCCAAGAGGCTCACGCCATGCTAACATCAAGTCATCTCCTACTGCAGCCGCGTGACCGCCATGTTCCAATCCTGAACCAGAAAAACAAGGCTTTGCAGGCCAATGTATGCAACGCGCCTGCCTTCGGGTGCCGCAACGGCGGGCGGTACCGTGCTACCCGTGCCGCTGGAGCAATAACGGCTGCAAACATGAAGCCACAACCACAGCCTCCACCACCACCTCCTGCTCCTTGCTATGCATGCTGAAACTTCTCGGCCGCTGCACATGTTGCACTACGTACTGGAGACTCTGGGGCACATTCATGCCGTGGATGCTTTCAACCGTCCGAACGGCCACATCTTTCTTGATCACCGCTTTCCTCAACACAGCACCAACCTTCAAAGTCAGAAATCCTAGACCACGGAGACTGCTTCTGTCGGGGCTCCAAAAGTCATCTGCCCGGACAAGTCCGCCGCGATCTTCTGGCAGTGACATCGCCCGGCCCGATGCTGTCGCTGGTGCAAAGGTTGTTCCGAGATGTTCCGACAGTGCGAAAGTGGCATCTGCAAGCACCGCATGAGTTACTGCTGCGTGCTGTTTGCATGCTAGTCTTCCTTGAAAAACCTGCTGGTGGGTGAGGTGCCTCGAGCGTCTCATGGAATTGGTTCTTCTCATGTTGTCTTTCTGAATACTTCTGGGGTGAAGCCGAACGCAGCCGACAGCTCAAGTCTTGTTGCCGAGCGAGAAGCTACCCAGGCATGCTAGATTTGGGCAGCGACGAAGTGCGCAGCTTCTTCATCAGAGGCACAATAAGGGTCGTGGCGAAGAGAAGGATTAACCTCGCTGTTTGCAATGAGGGCGGTACCAATAATGGATTTCCATGCCAAGGCGGAGGCAGGTCATCTATGGAGGAATTCACGAAGTGCCGTCCGGCCTGACACTACCATGAGACTGCAAATCTCGACAGCACCTGCATTGCTTTATCAAAGTCACAGGCCTTCAGCCAGTTCAGAAAACATGTTTTGGTCAAAGTGCCGGCCCCTGCCAGCTTGCACGGCTCGGCTTGGCAATGCCTTCATCCATATCCTTTCATTGCCTGCTGCCTCCGCTGCTTTCTGGCCTTACAAGGAACTGGCACCCGCTCTGATTCCCAAAGACCGGGCGAACTGAGAAAGGGACTAAAAGCAAAGACCGCCAGGACGGCCAAACATGGCCAGACTGCGCGTCGAAGCCACCGCCTGACTTCTTATGCACTTCTAGACCCCAAGGACAAAGACATCTCGTTATAGCTTGTGAAACCAGGAAGCAACATTGCCTTCTTTGTGGCGTTGCAGAACTAGCTGGCAGCTCATTTGGAGCATGGCTTCTGCACACCAGCCTGGCTGTCTTGATCTTTTTCTAGGAAGATCCTTGACTTCCTTGGCCTCCTGGCCATGCTCCCGCCGCATGTGATGGCAGCCAACACCTGAGCAGGCCACTGTACACAACATCCGTCACATGATGCTACATGCCAATCGCGGCGAAGGCGCTCCAAGGGGCTGGACACCAGGCTTGGCCGCCGCAGTTTTTGCCGGCTGTGTGTGCCCTGAGCCTGGGCACTGTGGCCGCGCTGGCCTCGTTGGTGTCTGGCCACTCTGGGCATTATACCTCACCATCTCACGGAACATGCTCTGAGTCTCTGGGAAAGCTCACTAAATCTTTCCGGCCTCACGAAGGCTGCAGGTTCATGCATCGAGGTATCAGTGCTATTATCACCCTATTGATTGTCCTGTGAGGTTCTTCGTTTCTGGTTCCCAGATCCCCTCAGATCTAAACCCAAATGTGCAAACGAGGTGACATGCTGTGGATGCTGGGCTCTGACTAGTGGCTAGGCAATTGTAAGCTGGCTTTCCCGGCCTGTGTATATATTGGTTCGCTCCAGTCCATTGTTGCCGTAAATGTCCCCTTTGCATGCAGTGGCGGATGTCAGCAGGGGCAATGCCACTGAGCCGTTTTTGCAAGCAGCGTATCCAGAATTCACGGCACTCTGCATTTCTAACACATCCACCTCAGCACGAGATGCACTTCCTGCAAGAAGAGCAACAACACTAAAAACTCATTGGGGGGTGGAGACCTGGCCATGCCATAGGCGAACAGACCAGGGAGCTGCCTTGAAGCCAAGGCCTTGTTGGACCTGTGGTCTTTGAAAAGCATTAGCGCAGCAGCTGTCGGCAAAGCACGCAATCAGTTCACTGAGCGATGAGCCATCGGATCCCCCAGTTGTGCCTTTATGACCTCCCCACTTTATCCCGTACATAATGCACGTGGTTCCTCACTAATTTGGCTAGCATGTACTGGCAATGAGTTACCATGTTGCATCATGCAATGCCATGCTGTTCTCGTACATTTCTGCCAGCCTGGCATGGTTCGGGGAGCTCGCGCCTGGGTCTTGGCCGCCACCGTAGCCGAGGAGCAATTACGAGCAACAACATGAAAAGGGACTTGGAAAGCACGATTGGGATGCCTGAGCTCGCTGAACGCCAAACACCCACCAGCCAGTGCACATGAAGTCCCTGCCAACAGCGGCCTCGTGCCAGAGAGGAAGTGCGCCATACACAAAATAGGCAAGCAAATCCTCGAGTAGCATGGATCCCAAGGATTCGAGGCAGCGACGCAATACGGGGCATCCCGCTTGAAAGTTGCTGTGTCATAACTATGTGTTTCTGTGTGTTATGTTTTGGTCTCTGGCTACGGCTTGTCAGTTGGAATCCGATTCAGGTTGTGTGAGTCATGCGCGCTTACAACTTCAAATGGTTTGCGTACTGTTGAGCCGAGCGGGTGAGGAAGAAGTAGGGCCACCAATAGTTTTAACTTCTTGTGTGGTCAGCAAAGCAGAGGTCTTGCTTTTGACATGCACGAGACACAGTTCTTGCAAATCCACAATCGAACAATTCAGCTTTCGAAGCGCAATCTCAACTCAACGACTCTGACTTCCCTTCGGATGAGCTCACCAGTACTCTGGCTTTGGATCCTGCGAGAAAGCTGGAAGTTTCAATCTACAGCAATAAGCTGAAGCTGGATCTGCAAATGCTGCATGGAAACTTGAAAGCCACACACCACCGCACCCCTTCGCGCTCGGGCATGAACTCCAGGCCGACGGTCTTCATACCAGCCTCTTGATCAAAACAAGTTGCGATCACGCAGCGCAGCCTACAGGAATTGCATCACTACGCATGCGTGCGCATCATTCGCCTTGACATTTTCAGCGAAATATTCCGGGTGGGTCTGCTCCGTGATTTCTGGCGCTGACCACCCCATCTGCAACGGTCACAATGACAACATGTAATTTGATCTTCTTTTGTTGTTTTGAAGCCTGCCTTCCGCAAGCGTTCTGCAAACCAGTTCAGTCGCTTGGCATTGAGCAAACTGTCTGGGGGGGTATGAATATTCCCGAACCTGGCGACAATTAGCTGACGGAGCAACGACGGCGCATCCCAACCTGATTGAAAACAGTGCCGGCGGCGCGCATCTTCGGCCATGGATCGCAAAGCCGATCTGATCTGCACGTAACCATTGTCCATAACCGCAAATTCAACATCTGAGATTAATCCTTAGTACATCATGCTGAGCTGTGAGAACAACATGCGGAACGTTCCTAGCGGCGCGGAGACATGCAGGCATACGTACGCATTCTGCGTCAAGCAGCCAATAAAACTGGCGAATTGCCTCAAAAACCGTCGTGCCATGGTACATGGCACATGGCACGCAATGAGGTATTGAATTGCTACTGCTAGACCACAAAGCAAAGCTAAGGCACGCATACAAGTACTTCGGCTGGGCTTGCAGGACACGGAACCCACCAGCATCAACGCCTGCAAAATTTACATGGCTTATGAGCTGCTGCCCTACGGCAAAGCAAAAACCTATGTGCAGGAAATGCGGCCGTCGTGACCAGGGGGGTATGATTCCATCAGCTGTCTCAGCTGCTCAGTTGCCTCAAACCAATGCATTCCAAACGTTTTTGAAGATGATCTACTCTTCTGGGTGCGTCCCAGGCTCATCCTGCGGTGACATTCCGGCAGGAATCTTCCAAGGTTCCAGCTTGGTCTGAATCTTCCTAGACATACACACTGTCGAACGTATGGCTATCGCAGATGCCAAGACGTGCCCAAACACAAAATGCAAACGTGCGACCCTCAATGCCAAGATGCTTTTCTCTGAAAAAGTCTTCGGTTGTTGAAAAGCATCGTGGAATCACCTCCGGGCAGGGTTGGAAGGTTGGTGGTGCCGTTATGACATTGGAAACATTTCGTTGCTTTCCTTTAGAATCGCGTGGCTCCTGTCCTAGTTGGGTGCATCACTGACGTACGACCGTCACATTTTGCTCCGTTTGCTGTACGCTAAGCTACGGCTACTGTTTCATGTCCATCGCCCCTCAACAAACCGCATTTCGATGAGATTTTCCAGGCTTCGCGTTTGCAACCTGTAAAAAATAGGGGTTGGACATACATGGGGGGCCAGGCCCAGGATTTTATCACCATAAAA